CACATGTAAACAGTAGTTTCAAAAATAAAATTGAAGGACTTGGATATGAAAATGTTCTGCTAATTTCTGATAAACCTTTTTGTTTATAGCCTCGCATGGGCTTCCTTCGCTTGCTGTATGGCTGCAGCTGTCACCACTATTAACAAATATACAAAAACTATTTTGGAATTCAAGCACAAAAGAAAAACGCTGGAAAGGAGTTTAAAGATTAAATACATGTTTCCTGACCATACAGCTCCAGAGAAAGCTTGCAATGTGTATGTGAACTCTTTTCTCAACAGTGCAGAGGACCCTGCACACCCAATAAAAGGCTTGTGTCACCTGGCCACTATTTCAGTTCTGTAAATGTGAACTGTAATCTCAAAGCATCATGTAAATCATAAAAATAGATCAGAATGAAACAGTATTAATTAATAAAAATGTATATTTGTGTAACATTAGCTTTTTTTCCTAATAAAGAAATTATATTTCCATGGATGTTTCAAGGAAGTTTTAGTATTGGAAAAGTAGATTCAGGTGCCTCAGTTCAGAAAAAGACAGTGTCACAGAGCATCCACTGCTCTGATATTTAAGCAGTCTCTAATGCTCATATATGGTATGTGAGTTTGTTAGAATTTCAGAGCATTATAGATTTCCAACCTAATTCTTTATTGAAAAAACTGTAAAAAATCCCATCCCAATACAAATACCACAGTGAGCAGGGCAGCAAATAAGGCATTCCACATGTGGTGCATGGCTTGAATAATTGTTTTTTTTATTAAATGTACAATCCCTTCAGAAAAATCTGTGTATTACATCTTATGATTCAAGAGTTTCACCATATGCATAGTAGTAGGATTTGCTGTGAAAGCAAGACTAACAGAGGAAAGAGGCTTTCAGTGTAAATACTACTCACTTAAAATGTCTAGGAAGGCAAACAGAAATCTGGAAGACATGTAGTTGTAGACAGCATACAGCTCACCTATTAAATTCTCTAGGTATCATTCTGACAACACTGTAAGAAAGAATCAAAATTGTTTTGTTATTATTATTCATGAATCTACTATCACATTAAAGATGGGAAAGTATAAATTATTACAATCCTCATAGATCAGGAACATGCAGCTGCTCTAGTCTGAGGTTCAACAAGGAGCTTCCCCATGGAACTGAGCCATGTGTGCCTACTCTGTTGGACACCAGTTTTTCTTCATTGTTGTATGAATCCTCCTGCTAATGAGCCCGCTAGGAAATGCACTAGGGAACACTGAGTGTTCACAAACAGCTCTGTGATATAGAAAAATCCTATACATTTTTTCAGGATAAGTAATCCTAATATGAATAAAGTCTGAACTTGTTATGCCACCAGGATCCATAGTAGGTCAGTGCATGACCAGTGATAAGATGGAGCTGATGTTAAAGTAGAACAATTAAAAACAATTAGCTCAGAAGGAAACCATGGGCTGTTAGTGGCAAGAGAGGAAAATTGAGACAAGAAATAAGATAACAAGGAAAGACATAAACCAGTCTCCTCAAAAGGGAGGTGGTGGGTGGTGGGAAGCCTCCTGGGCATCTGTGCCCTCTGCTATGTAACTGGCCATTGGAAGTGTTGTGACCTCAAGAAAGGCAGTTTGTGGGCTGGATGTAGAAAGGGGCCTCATAGAGTTTGGACTGTTGCTGAATATTGCTGCTTGCAGTTTATGCAACAGTTCTGGCCATATGTCTCTGTATGGAGAAGGCTAAGTTACTCAATCATTTTTTTTTTTCCTCAGTCTTCACAAGCAAGGGTTCAAACCCCACCACCCAAGTTGCAGAAGGCAAAGGCAGGGACTTAGAGAACAAAGAACCACCCACTGCAGGGGAAGATAAGGTTCAATACCATCTAAAGAACCTGAAGGTGCACAAGTCCATGGGACCTAATAAGAACCATCCAAGGGTCCTGAGGGAACTGGCAGAAGTAGTTTCTAAGCCACTATCCATCATACTTGATAATGTCATGGCAGTTCAGTGGAGTTCTCAGTGACTGGAAAAGGGGAAACATAACCCCCGTTTTAAAGGAGGAAAAAAGGAAGAGCAAGGGGACTACAGGCCAGTCAGTCTCTCTCATGTGTCCAGCAGAATCATGGAACGGATCCTCCTGGAAGCTATGCTAAAGAACATGGAAAACAGAGAGGTGATTGGTGACAGGCAACATGGCTTCACTAAGGGCAAATTGTGCCTCACAAATTTGTTGGCCTTCTATGATGGGGTTAGAGTGTTAGCAGATAAGAGAAGAGCAAACAATGTCATCTCCCTGGACTTGTGCAAAGTATTTGACACTGTCGTTCACAAGATCCTCATCTCTAAATTAAAGAGGCATGGACTTGACAGGTGGACCATGCAGTGGATAAGGAATTGGTTGGATGGTCACACTCAAAGTATTGCAGTCAACGACTCAATATCCAAGTGGAGATCACTGACAAGTGGTATTCCTCAGGAGTTGGTACTGGTACTGATCCTGTTTACCATATTTGTTGGCAACATGGAGGGTGGGATTGAGTGCACCCTCAGCAGATTTTCTGGTTCCAGTGACACATTGGACAGAAAGAATACCATCCAGAGGGACCTGGACAGGCTTGAGAGGTGGGCCCCTGCAAACCTGATAAAGATCAACAAGGCCAAGTGCAAGGTCCCACACCTGAGTTGGAGCAATCCCAAGCCCAAATACATCTTTAGTGAAGAATGTACTGAGCAGCCCTGAGGAGGAGGACTTAGGGGTGTTGGTTGATGAAAAGCTCAACATGAGCCAGCAATGTGCGCTTGCAGCCATATCCTGAGCTGCATCAAAAAAAGTGTGACCAGTAGGTCAAGGGAGGTTATTCTCCCCCTCTACTACACTCTGGTCAGACACCACCTGAAGTACTGAGTCCAGCTCTGGGGCCCCCAAGATGAGAAGGACATGGAGTTGGAGTGCATCCAGAGTAGGGTCACAAAGATGATCAGAGAGCTGAAGCATCTGTCCTGTGAAGACAGGCTGAGAGAGTTTAGGTTGTTTAGCCTGGAGAAGAGTAAGTTCCAGGGACACCTTATAGTGGCCTTGCAGCTCTTAAAGGGGGCTTACAAAAAAGATGGAGAGGGACATTTACAAGGGCATGTAGTAATAGGATGAAGGGTAATGGTTTCAAACCAAGAGAGGGTAGATTTAGACCAGATATTAGGAAGGAATTCTTTACTGTGTGGATGGTGAGGCACTGGCACAGGTTGCTCAGGGAAGTTGTGCCTGCCCCCTCCCTGGATGCGTTCAAGGCCAGGTTGGATGGAGTATTGAGCAGCCTGGTCTGGTGAAAGGTGACTCTGACCATGGCAGGGGGTTGACAGGGTAAGCTTTAACGTCCCTCCCAACCAAAACCATTCTATGATTCTATGACTCTGATCCGGGTTGCAGGTAGGAAAAGCTGACTCCCAGTCAGAGAGTTTCAGGCACTTATCCAACTAGCCCTAGCCTACTGGACTGCAAGCCTAGGGTCCAGAGCACCACTATCCCAAGCAGCAGAAAGCCTGTTGAAGTCAGTGTGTGAATGCTCAGCATTGGGGATGGCATGTCAGTGAGCATACTGCAGCACCAACTGGAGGAACCATTCCAGGCACAGCAGATGTCTTGGCCTAGGCTGGACTCCTGAGGAAGGATGCAGCTCTCTGAGTCTTGCTGAAGGTTCTTGCTGAAGCTGGAGAAGGTGAAGGCAGCATCCTTACCTGTAGAAGGTGTGTTGTGACTGAGAAGCTCTATTGAAGTTAAGGAGCTGTGGGAGGAGGTGAGAAGGCTGCATAGCATGAGGGTTCATGAAAAAGAGATAGACAAGATATTCACAGAGAGACTTCAAAGATGAGAGTCTGAACCCCTATAATGCACAGCGGAAGAGCAACCAGAGACTCTGCTCCCAGGACTAGCAATGCTGGATGTTAGAATCATAGAATGGTTTTGATTGGAAAAGACCTTTAAGATCATGGAGTCCAAATATCAATCCAGCCCTACTAAATTTGCCACTAGACCATGTCTCTAAGTACAACATCTACTCGTCCTTTAAACACCTCCAGGAATGGTAACTCCACCACCTCCCTGGGCAGCCTTTTCCAATGCTTGACAACCCTTTCAGTAAAGAAATTCTTCCTAATAGCCAATCTCAATACCCCCCTGGATCAACTTGAGGCCACTTCCCCTTGTCCTATGACTAGCTATGAGGGAGAAGAGACTGATCCTCACCTCACTACAGCCTTCTTTCAGGTAGTTGTAGAGAGCGATAAGATCTCCCCTCAGCCTCCTTTTCTCCAGACTAAACAACCCCAGCTCCCTCAGACACTCCTCATAAGACTTGTGCTCTAAACTCTCCATCAGCTTCATTGCCATTCTCTGGACACACTCCAGCATCTCTATGTCTTTCTTGGAGTGAGGGGCCCAAAACTGAACACAGGATTCAAGGTGCAGCCTCACCAGTGCCGAGTACAGGGAAAGAATCCCTGCCCTAATCCTACTGGCCACACTATTCCTGATGCAGACCAGGATGCTGTTGGCCTTCTTGGCCACCTGAGCACACTGCTAGCTCATATTCTGTCAAACACCACCACCAGATCCTTCTCCTCCAGACTGCTCTCCAACCACTCCTCCCCAAGTCTGTAGTGCTGTATGGGGTTGTTGGGATCCAAGTACAGGACCCACCACTTGGCCTTGTTGAATCCCAAGCAATTGGCTTCAGACCATTGATCTAGCCTGTCCAGGTCCCTCTTTAGAGCCTTTCTACCTTCAGGCAGATTGACACTCCTGCCTAGCTTAGTGCCATCTGTAAACTTACTGAGGGTGCATTGAGGTGTTGAGGCTTTTGGCAAGAGGAGGATTTGTCCATTGGCAGAATAGTTCTGGTCTCTGGCAGCAGGCAAGAGACTGCGAGCTCTATCTGGTGAGCATTCACAGCCAGCTGAGCCTGAAACATGCAGGAGAACCAGGGGAGCCTGGCAAGTGACAGAAATGGGAGACTGTCCTTCAAGGGTTGTAGGGCACTATCTGTTGACCTGACCTGCTATCCAGGGATGTTTGCCCTTTGTTGGGGTCTTAGAACTGAGGTGTTTCAGGGAGACTGCTGAAGTCTCTCCAGCACTCAGACTGTGATTCCATGCTGATAATCCATGTGGACAGCAGTTATACTATTGGGGAGACCTTGAACATGTCAAGAGTGACTATATGACTCTGATGGGGGTGAAGATGTAGGACATGAGGGCCCAAGTGGTGTAGGGCATGGATTCTGTGGGTCAGTACTTGAATGTGCACATCTGGTCCCTGTGACAAAGGTTTGACTATGACAACTGCAAGTCTTTCTCAGAGAATGAGGAACTACTGA